CTTTGCGCTCTATTATTGAGGTCAATGAGTAATCTTCTCTCGTCTCTATTCTCCAAGAAAGCAGGATCATCATGTTTGTGATTTAACTGTACAACTATATCAAATAAACGTTCCTCCAAAGAATCATCTTCCTCTGCTTTTTTTAAAAGCTGCTTACCATAGTTATAGTGAATTCTCAACCTTTCATTCAAAGGCAGTGATTCATAAGCAGCTTGTTGGAGTCTATCATGATTAAATCGTAAATGACCAGAATTGATATTTGAAATCCATCCCTCCTTCACCGCATAGTTCAATCTTTCTTTTAGTTGCATCAAGTCTATCTTGTCTTCTTGTTGCTGATTGAGTAGGTGGAGCATGTCTTTATTGGAAAACTTATTTCCAAAGCAAGAAGCAAATGCAAGAATATCTTGTGTTTGTTTTGGTAATTTCTCCAAATGTCCAAGGAGATAGTCAATAACGTTTTCAGATATGTATTCTGCATTTTCTATTTTCTTTTTATCCCATGTAATAGTATCTGTTTGAGTATCGAAATAAATAGCTCCATCCTTAAATAAACCAGCCAATAACTGCTTTAAAAAGAAGGGGTTTCCATTTGTCCTAGGGAAGAGTATTTTGGTTAGTTCTTCTGTTTCAGCTCTATTTAAAGACTCTGAGACAATCATGTTAGATTGATCTTGTGTCAATTCAACAACTTGGATTTCTTCAATGTTCACTTTAAGTTTGAGATTTTCTAAAAAGTAAAATAGAGGATGATCCTTTCCCACTTCGTTATTTCTATATGCTCCAATAATTAAAAGAGGAACAGTATCGCAAGAACCAGTTGTTCCAAGAATTTCCTTTAATAGCTTCATGCTATCAAAATCAGTCCACTGCAAGTCATCCAAGAAAATGCACAATCTCTTCTTTTTTAAATGAGTATAACAACTAAAGAGATGAATAACTATATTGTTGTTATAATGTTAAATTAAAAAAATATTACTTACTTCCTTGTGAAAAGAGCTTCATACGCTCTCCATTCTGATCTCCCATTGATGGGGAGGTATGCTTTTTGGCTAGATTAGTTGTAAATAAATATGACATATCAGGAATTGCATCACTCAACATTTCTAATTGATCTGAATTGATAAGTGTACCAAATTGGAATCTGAAATCCTTAATCACTGATTCAGATTCTCCAAGAACGTCGCCAATAATTTGTTTACATATAGAAATAATGGCATAGTAAGGGATATTCATATGTTGATCGTATTTTGCCTCAAAGAACTGTATTGCTGTTTTACTTCTTGTCCTAAACTCCTTAACAATACTTGATTTACCTATGCCGCTATAGCCTCCCAGAAGGACAATCATTGACTCACTAGATTCCATCATATTTTCAAGTTTCAATTTCAATTTTTCGAAAATTTCCTCTCTACCATAGACACCATAAGGTATGGATAAAGTTGTTTGAACATCGTTCATACCAGCTTGAAAATTTTCAAGAGCTTCCATATCTTCTAGTTGAATAGCATTCTGTATGTAGAGCAAATCTCGTTTCAATCCAAAAATACTCAAATAACGTTTCTCAATAGATTTTTGAATGGCTTTGGTAATAAGTCTTGAAATTGCTCTAGTAGCAGCTGTGAATAGGTTTCCTTCATTGGCTGATATAAAAGACCTTCTTGCTAGATTTTGAAACAAGGACTCTGGTTGTTGAGTCAAATGTTGAAATACGAAATCTACTGCCCTAAACTTGGTAAATGGATGTTCTTTGGAAAATAACTCAAAGAGAACAAATCCAAGCGAATATATATCAGTGTGGAAACCTATTGGTTTTGGAATTTTCCCCGTTGCCTCTGGAGCACAATACATTCGACTACCAATAATTTTATCAGTATATAAAAATGGATGCTCCAAAGGGAGGAATGTACTCTTTCCAAAATCAATCAATCTTATATTGCATTTAGGTCCATCTACAATTATATTTTCTGGCTTAATGTCAGCATGACAAACTCTTGAGTGATGCAGTTGAGCAACACTCATACAAATAGAAATAGCAAGTGTTAAATTACTTTCCAATATTGTAATGTTTTCTTTCACTCGTTGTTCTTCATTGAGAAGTGTTACAGTATCATTTGTTAAGGTTTCAAAATTCTCATGATCAGTAATTGGTTCTACTCTAGCATTGTATGTTTTCGATCGATCAATGAATAATCTCAACGAAACACAATCAATAAACTCCCTCACAAGAATAAAATAATCGGACAAATAGGCCTTAGTACGGACAATAACCTGTTGTGTTGGATCCAACACTTGAGAAAATTCATTGGTCAAGAATCGAGAAATTTCTGCATCCCTTTCCAGCTTTGGAATGGATGGTTTGTCCAGTGAAACTTTCAGACAATAAATCTCATTCTCTATTAATTCCTTTTGAGAGGAAGGTCTCTCCCTTCTTGAAGAATTCCTAGTTTGTTGAGGTGTGTATCGACAAATAATCGTTAGAGATGACTTTTTTTCATAATGAAGAATTGGAGAGAAGGAGGTTAGTGATAAGGCATGTTCTCCCCAATAATGTTCTGAATAGTAATTGAATGATGCATGAGGTGGCACACATGGAGTAAAGAATGGAGGGAGAACATTTTCTAGTAGGGATTTTAGAGTATTGGAGGAGTTTCTCGAAATGGTTCTACCACCAAGTGATTCACTTGAAGAATTAAAGAATGTTGATGAAGTTAGCAGTAAGTTAGTCGCTGATGCATTGGCATGAATATTGGCCAGTGGAACTGGTGTAATAGATGAAGGAAATTTGTATTGTTGTTCTTCCCCGAGACCCTTGTTAATATTTTGATGAAGCCTTTGATGATGTGAGGAGTGGTTAAATTGTGTTAGTTTAGCTTCAGATGATGTCTTGATTCCATCTTCATTAACAATAGGTCGATTATTCTCCACCATCTCTTCGTCCTTCTTTCTTTTTGAAGATAATTCCTTTTTCTTCTTGTTGATGATATTGTCTGTTCTTTTTCATGATGAAAATTTGCGCCTTGTTTGTTAGATGATACGTCTTCTGAATAGAGTCAAATCTCCCAATGGCAGGTTGCTTTATTGGATTCTTACTACATTCACGTATGTGGTAAATAGATCAGATAATAATGAACATTAATGGACTTTAATTTTTTCTCTTCAACACCTGTGGTGCTGTCAACACTCTTCTGTTTAATTAATAAAATTGGAAAGAACTGAATAGTTGGATTTATTTAAGTGCAAGACTGTAATTTGTTAGTTACATTCTTCTTGTCATTAACATTCAGAAACAGCCATTCACAACAGAATTATCTTCAAAAAGAATGAAGGACGACATTTGGAAACTCAGCAACAAACTCCTTCAATTTTGCTGATCACAGTTGTTTTGTGTTTTGGCATTATCCAAATTGTTTGATTTTTTGAAATTAAATTATTGCTTGTCATTTGCTCGTTCGTACCTCACTCGTGGTGGAACTGGTTCTGCAACTGTTGCACGTTAAGAAAAATATAACCCAAATAATGTTGAAATTATTAATTATTTTGTACAGTAATAAAAATGGTTTATATCTCGAATTCATTTAGAGTTAAATAAATGAAACTCAAACTGTTGTACTTAATCATATTTACAAAATCTTGGAGTATAACATTGAGATGGACATAGAACCTTGAATGATGAATCAATAATTAAGAATTGAGTTGGATGAAATATATCGAATCAAACCAATTGGTATCGATGATAATTTCCGAAATAACTCCACAAACTTAGGTAAACTTTGTTTTATTCTAGTTGTACCATAAACAACGCTTAAACTACTAGGATAGTATTCTAAATTCTACTTTAGTGAATGTATAAAGTGATGAACTTGTAATCTTACCAACATAGAGAAAATTTTACATGACATTTGTAATTGAGCGTATTCTACGGAATTTAATAATGTTCAAAGGCCGTTAATGTTGCAGATATTTGTCTACGTTTCTTTGTTTTGATCCTAACACAAGCCACGAATTTGTATCCACTGAGTAAATAGTGTATGTACTCTCTGTTTCTGTCGTGTCCAATATTACTCTAGAGCAAAAATCGTGATCTCGTTTGCTCTCAATGTACGAACATCTTTTGCTATGCCATTGCTTCACGGCTTTGGTGTGGTACCGGTCGTAGTTGATAGGGTGTGTCGCAAACTATAGGTTATTATTATATTGTTGGTATGGTATTTGGGAACGTCCCGTCTTGAAACACGGACCAAGAAGTCTAGTATATCTGCAAGCCGTAGCAATCTAAATTGTGAAGGCGTAATGAAAGTGTAGTTCGTGACACCCGAATACATATATCTTACATTATCCTAACACGACCTACGATTTGCATCGGTGGTTTTCCTCACAAAATCTTTTCATAAACAGTTTCAAATTAAATATCTAACTATGAAAATCATAAAGCATTCATTGCTCTTCTGGTTCAATTTAGTGTTTTTCAAATTCTTCAATTTAGAGGAATGTATTAAAATCAGCAGGTAAATACCACATGCTGACTAAAGATAATTTAATAAGACCACGAGATACTTTGGAGGATTGTCGAATTCCATTTTTTATTCATGCTTGATTATCATTCCACTACGACCACCACCGCCAGAGCAACAACACATACAACACCATGTAAGGCATGGACTAATATAAGGGAATATTAAAACAAAAATGATAATTCCAATAACCAGTAATGTAATCACACCACAAATAAATTAAACCCCAAATAATGTAAGTCATAATAGAAGCATTTGAAAAATCTAATAACTTGGTAACCTTTTCCCATAAACTACCTAAGGTAGATTTAAGTTCATGTGTTACATCATTCACAGATGGAGTATTATCTTGAGCTTTTCTGCTCTTGATATCTAAAGTAAAATTATAAGAAATAGCCTTTGACGAAGTAATTTTACCGCATGAAACAGATAGTAGAGATAATTCATTGGATGCAATTCAAATGATCCTTCGCCTGGTTTAAACATTATTTGGGTTGAGATGAAATAATGGCTGGGTCTGTCAAAAGACGAGCAACAAGCGTCCAAAAATCGATAATTTCCTTCATTGAAGAATGTGAAGTTTTGGAAAAAGACAAAGCCTGGCAGAGAAGGTCAGACCAGTTTGCTCATTTTTTTACTTCCGATTTTATTGTAAAAAAATGCACTGTTTTCCGTTATTCAATAGGTTGACAATTGATTATGTTAGAACGAGATTTTCTAAACAATTAACCCCTTTTGATGATGATATTATTATTTTTAATATTATTCCATTTCTTGACCAAAACGATATGATAAGATTTGCTTCTGTTTGTTCATCATGGAGACAATCATGTTTCTCTCCGAATGCTCGTAAAGAATTTAAGACATATTATTACTACATTTTAACTAAACTAAATTATACAATGAAGCTACCTATTGGTGATTTACCATTATTATTTACAGATTTTGATATACAACACGATATAACAAAATCCCAGTTCAAATCTATTATTCAATCTCCAAAAGTAACAAGTTTTAAAACTGTAAATTTTTATCGTTCCACTTTTAAAGGGAATTATTATTCAAATATTAGAAGTCTTGAGATTACTTGTGTTAAGTTAACTAATAATGATGTTTTATTAGTGATGAAGTGCTTAAAAGAACTAAAAAACTTGAAGTTGAGTTCAAATGGGCTAAAACAAGTTGATTTAAATTGGTTTCAGACACTTGAGAGCCTTTCTATTCGTAATCCTATTAACGATAACAATGTAAAACAAATACTTAAGCCTAATTCCATTTCTAATTTAAAAGAGCTTGAATTATCTATTCACGAAAACAAAACTATACATAATATTGATTTTGATGCAACATTGTTCCTGAATTTAACATCACTATCTCTAGACGGATTATTGTTACATGAAAAAACGATTACGTCGATTCTAAATTCTGGCATTAATTTCAAAACCTTCCGATACTATCCGACTGAGAATTTAGGAACAGAAATCGACGAACTAATATGTAAATATTTTTCAAAACAAACATTACTTGAAAATTTTGTCATAGGGGAATCAGGGACTGCTTTCAAATATTTAAATGGTAACAATTTAAAACAATTAACCGTCTTTGATATTCAGAACATCTCATCAACAGAAGATTTTCCATTAATGGAAAATCTATTAACTTGTACTCTTCATAATAGAAAGAAGAACTACACACCATCAAATTTTTATCAATTCCAACAGTTTTGCAACTCTGTTCCTAATTTAACTTCTCTCAGTATTTACATTCAATTATCATGTTCATTGGAGCCACTAACATGTCTATCAAATTTAAAACATTTACTTGTTGTTTACTTTAATATAAATGATATTAAATTTATATCCAAAATAAGATCTCTAGAATCATTGGAGCTAAGTGATTGGATTGATAACATGGGCATTCATTATATTTCTAAAGGAGAATTGTTAAATTTGAAAGAATTAAGAATTTCACACAGGGCAAATATTGAGACCATGAAAATGTTTGATGATGGTAATTTGAAAAATCTTAGGTATTTGAGAATTTCTTTTTTGGTTGATGCCTTGGACTGTATTTTGAATAGCTCATTTATGAAACAAATAAGAGTTTTGTATATTGTAGCTACCGATGGAATAGAATTTGACACTCTCGTTTCTTGGTTAAGAGAATTGAATTTAAGAGAAATTATTCTTTCTTGTTACATAACCCGTAAACAAAGAAAAACACTTGTCGAATTATGCAGGGGTAAACGAATAAGGCTCATCTTAATATCTTAATGGAGAAATAAAGAAAAGGCTTTTTGTGTTGCTTTATTCAAGGCTTCCTCAATTTTTTCAAAAAATCTTTGTGGATACGAGGAAGGAGGTTTGTTGGAGAAGTATACTTGAGAGGATGTTAATTGCTTTAATAAAAGATTTGCTGTCGAAAGTGAGTGAAGTCAACAAGAACAATCAAAGATAACTAACTCGTTCATCACATCACAACATCTTCTTGTGCGAATTAAAAAAAATGAATACACGGCTAAAATTTGTGCCAGAGATTGACAGAACAAAAAAATCAAAATGGAACTATCTACCACTTGGACATTACATCTATTCATCTTGTAGAAGAATTCTTTTTCAATGTTTTTGAAACTTTGGATCCCAAAACAATTTCAGAGAAGGCTGAATGGCTGAGTAAATCATTGGAATGGCGAATTGCTCAATCAGCATTCATCTACGGACTAGAGTACATAGTCAAGCAATTCAAAACAACCGAGTGGAGTTTGCTCATTGACACGGACAGTTATTTTGCTGCCAATTGTTTGGAACAATTTATGGATTTGGGAGCTAGATGGCTCAATCATATTCCTATTGCTATGGGAGATGCCATTCCGATTTATATGGGTGGTGCTGGATTGTTATTCAATAATCATGTAAAAAAAGTGTTGGTAGAGAACATTGACACGTGTATTAAGAATTAATTATTAAGAAATGCTAATCGTGGGCTGAGGATGTCAAGAAAATTCAGTGTAATTGCTTCATTTTACTTAAATAGATCCCTTGATAACCAATATCATTGTTTGCAATATTAAGAAATGTTAATTTTTCCAATTTACTAATATGTTGTGCTCCTTCCTCACTAATTGCATTTCTAAGAACATTAAGATGTTTTAATTCTTTTAATTTACTCAAACATTTAGCTCCTTCATCATCAATATAATTTCCACCAATATCTAGGTATTGTAATTGTTGCATACCAGTCAAAATTTCGACTTCCTCAGAGTTAATATCATCACCAATAATAAAAACTTGATTACAGCTAATATCAAGATATGTTAATTGTTTCAAGTTACCCAACCATTTAACTCCTTCAGTAACAATTTCATTTGCAGCAACACCAAGATGTGAGAACTGTTCTATGCTACTCAAATATTCAACACCTGCACTCTCAATATTATTATAACCTATTTCTAGAGTTTGTAATTGTTTCAGCTCACTTAAATATTCAGCTCGCTTAGAGTCAATATCATTAGTATGAATATTAGGATTTGTTAGTTGTTTTAATTCTCTTAAGTATTTAGCTCCTGTGGAGCCAATTTGATTATTCTGAATATTTAGATATGTTAGTTGTTTTAATTTACTAATATGCTCAGCTCCTATGTTTCCTAGCATGCTTTCCATTAACATTAAGTGTTGTTAATTTTTTTATTTTGCTTAAATATCCAGCTCCTATGTTACTAATCAGACTGTAACTAATATCAAGGTTAGTCAGTTGTTTTAAATCACTAATATATTCAGCTCCAGTACTATCAATACCATTGTTGTGAATATCAAGGCTTGTTAATTGTGTTAATGTGCCTATTGAATCTTTACCAATAATAGTTGATTTTTCGAATGTTAATGAATTGATAGAAAATGGACTACGACTTAATAACATGATTTTCTCATCGTCAACTAGTTTGCTAAATTTAACAGATAATTTAATATACTTCTTCGCAATATCAAACCATTGTTTAGAAATTAAAACACAATTATGCAAAATGAAGTTAGATGAATCAATAATTTCCCAAATAACATCATTACATAATTCTGTTTCGTAATTCTCTTCATTTTTTTTTGGTTTATTACAAAAACATAAAAATGTCACCAGCATGATCAACACTTCCTCATTATACCCCTTCTTTTGATTCAAAATGCAACCATCCTGCAATTATGCAACGTATTAATGATATTACTAAATTCATAAATAATAATATGAAGGAAAAAGGCGAGAGTGACGTTGGAGATGAAGATGAAGAACTAATAACCCAAGAAGATTTTCATCTTCATACTCTTTAATAATAAAATCTCCTTTCAGTACCAAGAGCAATAGCACTTGCTTCTATTTTGGGACAACCAAACTTCCCTGTTGAGATACACGGTTGAATTAGTGTGGATGCTTTAGTGTTTATTATAAATGAAAAATCTCAACCTATTTCGTAAGTTCAATAAAGAAGAGGAACTTGACATTTGCATGCACGAATCACATTTGTAGATTGAATGGCAACGAAAGTAATCTTTGGATTTCTGTTGATGTGGATGTTTCGTATAAAAACCCATGTTTTATAGCGTTTGTGATTGATTTCAGACATTGCATCAGAAGCTGACAAACCAGTCTTGGAACAATAAGGCAACATTCAATACATTCTCTATTTTCATGTAAAGTCTTTTCTGCAATTCATTATTGGAAGTGTTTAATAAACCAATCTTGGATGGTATCAATATTTTTAAATTGTTCCACTGAAACAATTACCTTAAACTTAATATTAAATATTTACATAATTTTATTCTTTTGGTTCAGCAACAGGAGGTTCCCACCACAATTTATCATAATCATTCTTATCACCAATTGCGTGAACTTCCCAATAAGATCTATTGTTTTCAATAAACTTTTTACAAAAAGCCATTCCAGGAGCAATATTAAAGAAACTTTCATACATTGGAGTGACTAGATAATTGATAAAAGCAATTTGACCTTTACCAACATGTTGAGTAGCACGGTCCATCATTGGTGAAATTGAAAGACCACTATTTCTTTCCAAATCACCTTGTGCAAAGAATTCATCTGTAATTCTTTCAGTCCATTTCAAAGCAATGCCTAGAGGTCTAGCTGGATTTGAAACATCAGCCATCTTGATAGCAATTTGAAGTGCTAATCTAATATCATCTTTAGCCTTAAAATCTGCCTTAGCTTCAAGTCTACCTTTAAATTTACCAACAATTTTTGCATGTTGACCCATATCAGTAGCTAATAACATTTCAACAATAGTTTCACGAATATCCTTCTTTTGTTCATTGCTCAATCCACTCAGAATATTATACTTGTCTTGACGCATTAATTCAAAGGCTTGAGAACAATGGTGATTTTCTAATACAGCTCTATCATTATACAATGTTGCCAAATAACTTCTAGTATTAACTTGGAATGCATTATTTAAACCTGGATGATCATAATCGTGAATAGTTGCAGAAACAAGTGCTGCAAAACAATCTTCAACTGCTAACTTTTCAATTAAACCACCTTCTTGAACAATAAAATGTGTTGCTTGAAGTACATCTGCTGCGTGTGCATTATTGTGATATGGATTTGGATGATAACCTGCTTCTAATTCTCTTAAAAAGTTAATAAAAATCTCTTCATTAATATTAAACTTCTTAATAAAATCATATTTCAAGAATAAAGCATAACATGTTGCAAATAATGGATTTCCTCCTGTTGCATTAAATACTTCAAATACATCAAAACTCCATGAATCTAATTTTTCAAATATAGTTAGTAATTGTTCCCTTGGAGCTGTTAGTATTACATTATTAGATTCCAAATGCTTTCTAGCTTCTTCTCCATGTTTAAATTCAATTGGACCATCTTTTCCTCTCAACCTAACAGGTTGATCTTTAGCATATTTGATTTTAAGAAATTCAAATACATCAATATCTGTTTCTGAAAGTAATTCCTTAGATAATGGTTCTTGATATTTATCTTCTGTTGATAATATACCAATAATTCTTTCAAAGGATTGTTTTTCTTTCAGTGTTATCGAATTATTTTCTGTTAATTTGTTCTTAATATCACCCAAGAATTTAATAACCTTAGTAGATTCTAAATTAGTAAAATCTTCAACTTCAACTGGTGTTGGTTTTGGTTCTTCTTTAGGTTGAACTGGTTTAGGTTCTTCTTTAGGTTGTTCTTTTGGTGGTTCTGGTTTTTGATCTTCATCAAGAACTTCATCTCCTCCATCATCTTCTTCTTCGGGTGTATTAGCATCTGGATACTTTTCCTTAATTTCTCTTTCAACTTCTGCAATTTTATCTTTGTACAACTTGATTTGTTTTTCTAATTGTTCTAATTTTTCTACAGGTGCACTTTCAATTCTAGCACTATAAAAATCATGAAGCGGATTAACAAAGAATGAAGTTAAATGTTCAAAGGCTTCTGGATCTCTTTTCAGTGGTAATGATAAACAAGTTCTTCCAATATTAGCAAAATTTAAATCAATATTGAATAAACATTCATCACCATCAATTTTAAGGGACACTTTTCTAGCAACAAAAGCATGTTTTAATGCCGTGAAAAAGTTCCACCATCCAATAGTGTTATTAACGTCTAATTTATCTCTCTATAATATGTGGAACAATAACATTCTACTACACATTATCAACACCTCAATACTTACAATTTCATTCAACTTTTTTCTTGTGACTTGCTTCATAAAAAAGTTCTTTTTAATATCGGCTGTAGCGAATATCACAGATTTAAAGTTTGATGTTACATATGCGGTACAGAGGAATTTCTCTCCGTGTACTGCTGTTTCGGTGAAGAGCTTTGGTAAAGTTGCAAGATAGGAATTAAATCTTCCATTCTCTGCAAAATCATCCACCTCTGCTAAATTATTGGTTTGATTAACAGCACATGTATTACCCATGATGAAGTTGTCTCTTTTTTTTTCAGTTGTAGTTTTATAAAACTGTTTTTCTGTAGTTTTTTTGGCGGGTAAAAAACACAAAGCCTTTTTGATGGACGTTCAGTGATGGATTCTACAAATGATAACCACAGGTGAAAGTGTGCATTGCTGCTTAGATCCTATTAATAAGGGTAGTACTATTAAATCCAGCAGAATCAGTTGCATTGAGAGAGATGAACAAGTTTTGTTGTTCGTTGGTAATGTTCAATTAAAGTACACACCTAGCCATAACACAATAGAAACTAATCAATTGATGAGAATCCTCATACATTCATTGGTTATTATTAGTTAATAGTATAATAAAAAACAATGATAGTAATGTTCTTTAGAGAATTTATCCATCACAACACATTAAGGTTGATTAGAAGTTATTATCCAAACAATTTATCTCTCCATTATTGTTATGAATAAGAATCAAATTCACATTATTTCAAAGATGTTTGTTTTATTGAATATGGATGAAATTACAATTACCATTATAACCTGTGCTGACCAATTGATTAAAAAATCTTTCCAGGTTGGATATAAAGGTTGTGTGCTCCTCTCAATCTATTATCAATATCTGTGTGAGTGTGGTTATTGCTCTGTGTGCGTGTTTGTTTCACACATGAAAAACGGTTGCGTGTATGTGAAATTTAATAATTAAACATTTTTAAAAAATGAGTTCAATTGAAGAAACCATCAAGTCACTCTTTTCTAATAAGGAAGACACTAAATCAATTGTTTTTGAATGGGAAAATGGTGCTGCTGTTATTAAGACTGTTGGTGTCAAGTATGTTTTCATTATTTCCTTAATTTAAAAATTAATATATTAATAACAACACAATTATTTACTAACAACAATAACAATCATCATCACCTTATATTCAAAATCATCGCTATTCAAATTCAAAATAACAATAATAGTGGTTTAGAAGATGTTAAATCAGCTTTAGATTCAACAAAAGTTCAATTGCCAATATTTGCAGTTCAATCAATTGATAAAGATGAAAGTGTTGAAACACAAAGAACCTATTTTGTACAATTACCATTTGTTGGAGAGAATGTTAAACCACTCCGTAGAAGAGATTTGGGTGTTTTAAGAAATTCTATTAATTCAACTATTGATAATCTTAAGGCTGGTCATATTCATGTTACTATGGAAATTACAAATGTTGATGAAATTCGTGTTGAAGAATTAGAAAAGAGACTTTTAACTGCATGTGGTTCTCATAAACCAAAAGGATTTAAATGGTAATAAATTGTAATACTAGAAAGATTTTTTTAAATATTATTAATTTTTTAAATATTTATTGTTTAAAAATGATATTTTTATTGTTTTGAATAATTATTAATAAATCTAATTAAATCAGCAGATGGAACACAACTTTCTTCAACATGTTGTTGTTGTTGAGATGATGATTGAGTATTTGGAACAAGTGTTGCATATTGATGATTCATTGTTGTTGTTGTTGTATTATTATCATTTGAATTGTTAAAAGTATTATTCTTATTAATAGATTTCAAAATAAAAGTATTCATAAAAGTAGAATAACAAGATGACATTGAAATTAAAGAATGAGAAGGTGCATTAAATATTTCCTTCCATGCTCTATTACCAATATCAGTTGCAAATGGAACTGTATTAACTCTTTGAAGTTCCATTAATGAAATTCTATCAGAAGATTTCCATTTCTTATCATAAATTGATTTAATTGTTCCATTTTCTTCAATGGATTGTTCTTCATTCTTTTCATTCTTATTATTATTAATAGTAGTAGTAGTAGCAGTAGCAGTACTACCATTAACATTACTTGTAGTAGTACTAGTATTATTTGTAGTAGTATTATTATTACTATTAATAATATTATAAATTTCAAATTGCTTATTTAAGAAATATAATTGATTATTCTTATAAAATAAAGATTGTAAAAAGTGATCAGTATCTAAATGATAATTAACCATTGGATATGATGATATATTAGTATTATTAATAGTATTATTATTTAATGAAAATTGAATAATTTCACTTCCATTAACAATACATGCAAATTGTTCATTTTGATTTGTAATTAAAGATTGAACATGACCAGCATCAATAGTCCATAAATTCTTATTATCAAATAATAAAGAGAATAAAGAAATATATCTATCAGAAATAATAGCAATATAATCATCATTAATGAATTTACAATCTAATAATTGATATGGATAATTATATGATTCAATTAATTCAAATCTTTCCAAATCCCATAATGTAATTTCATTACCAAATACAGCACATAATAATGTACCATCTTTACTTATATCAAATGAATAACATGGTAAATTTTTATATTCTAATATTGCTTGACATGTAAATAATTCACTTGTTAAATTCCAAATTCTAATTTTACCATCAATAGATGATGTTAAACATTGATTATTATTACCATTATTAAATAATAATTGTGTAATTTTATCTGAATGTGGATTATCAATAACTGTAATTAATTTTGGTTTCATTTTTTTACTAATACCACTATTATTAGTATTATTAGTACTATCATTGTTATCACTACTACCATTAACACTATTATTCATATTATTCATATTCATATTATTATTATCTAATTTCCAGAATTTTAAATTTTGTTTAAATTGATTAAAACTTTCAACGTGTGCTAAATAATTTGCATTTTGATTAAAAGCCAAATGTTCAATAATATTTTTAATAGGTTTAGATTCAGAATTAATAAAACGAGATGGATCATATTTAACATCTCTAAATTGAATAGATTCATAATGTTTAATAGTTGAATCATTAATATTAAACCATTGTAATGAATTTGTACCATTCATTAAAATATAATTACTATTAGGTTCATTAATTACTTTAATTGTATTTGATAGATTAATATTATTATTATTAAATTGACTAGTATTATTAAAAGTATTAGTATTAAAAGTACTACTACTACGAAGTAATATTAAAAGAATTATTATTAATTGAATTAGATTGATCAATATTAATACCATAAATTCTATAAATTAAATTAAATCTAGCAAATTCATATTTTCTAATAATATTATCTTTACCTAAAATGAAAATATCATCTTGATTTGAAGATAACATAAAATTAGAAATACTACAATCAGTAACAAGGAATTTATCCTTTTTAAGAGAAGGTAATCTCCAACAAACAACAACACCTTCAATACCAGATGAATATAAATAATCACCTTCTTCACTAAATTGTAAATTAGTTACCATAGATGGATGCCAATGATGTGATGATTTTGTACCATCTGAAAAATATAAAGAAATGACACCATGTCCATCTCCAGTTGCTAATATTTGATTTTCTTTACAAAATGTTAAACAAGTTAAATTTGATCCTTGATTTGTAATTATATTTTCAATTTCTTGTTTTTTTAAATTATAAATATATAAATCTAATCCACCAATTATAAATAAATAATTTGATAAAATCATTTGTGTAAAATTTAACATTTGAAATAAATTATATTCAATTTCATTATTTAATATATTAATTTTAATTATACTATAAAAATGTTCATATATACATAAATATATTAAATTTGAATCTTGTTGTATTCCATATATAGGTTTATTAATAGATAATTCTTTAATTAATATAAATGTATTATTTTCATTATCAATCTTCCATAAACATAATAATCCATCTTCAGATACACTATATATTTGATTTTCATTACAATCATCTTTAATTATTTGTGTAATCTTTTTAGTATGATGAATAATTTCATTCAATTGTTTACCTGTATTAGATGAATATATTTTTATAGTTTGTGAAACTGCAATTACAATTATATTTTCATTATCAATTAATATTGGTTTACTATTAAATATACCACCACAAGTATATTTTATATCTTTTAAATTGTTATTAGAAGAAGTAGGTATTATGAGTGTATTGTTATTATTATTTGTTGTAGAATTGGAAATGTGTTTATTAGTAACAATACCACTACCACCACCACCGAGAGAAGTACGATGAGGAGTTGGTGTGGAAACGATGGCTGTTGTCATTTTTTTTTACGAACAATTTTTAAATTCAACATAAGAGTGTACAGCATTTTTTTGAACCTCTCCCATCACTCATTGGTTGGAGGTGAAGAACAACAATATTCTGCCTTCTTTTTTTCATTAGAGAGTAAAATAATTGGAGGGAAAATATCAACAAGAGAAGAAAAACATTTAAAGTAATACATTACTATTTTATTATGTTAATAATAACACATCTCAAATAAGAGTAAATGTGTAAGTTTGTTGAGTATTTTAAATCTACAAGAAAATTATTCCATCTTCTATTCAGATAATCTAGAATAATTGAGTTGAATTCATACTACTACTACTATTATTATTAACATTGATATTACTTAATTTCCAATTATTATTATTAATCATCATCATCATAATCATTAAAATATAATTAATTAGATTGTGATTCTTGTTGTTGTTCTAATTTAAATTTTTCCTTTTCTTGTTTCTTTTTCATATAATCTTCAGTTGCTTTTCTAATAGCTTCTTCAGCTAATAAACTACAATGTTTCTTAACAGGAGGTAAAGATAAATGTGATGCAATATCATTATTTGTAATCATCATACAATCTTCAATTGTTTTACCTTTCACAAGTTCTGTTGCATAACTACTACTAGCAATTGCACTACCACATCCAAAGGCTTTAAATTTAGCATCAATTACTTTACCATTATCATCTACTAGAATTTGAAATTTTAATACATCTCCACAAGATGGTCTTTTTTCCGATTATTTGATAATAATAATATTAATATTTAAATAGTATTGTATATATTGAAAATATTTAAATTAAATATTATTAATATTAATATAATAAATACTTACGCACCAACAAGAGCAGTACCAACATTTGCATCTTTAGCATCTAATGAACCACTATTTCTTGGATTTTTATGATGATCTATTACTTTATCACTATATTTAAATCTAATTTGATTACTATATGAAAATACATTCTTATTAGAAAGTAAATTGCATTGTTTAGAAGTGATATTATTAGCAATGGTAGTTGTGGTACGTTTGAGAGATTTAATCATTGACATTTTTTATAAATTGAAATTATTGAGAATTTAAATTCAGTTATTATTATTATTGTTGTTGTATTATGATTGATAAAAGGTAGGAAAGAAGAGGAGGAGGACTATTTATCGGATGTATTAGAGAGAAGGTATTGATAAAGAGTTGAATAGGTTTGTTTTTTTACTATTGATTGAATGGAGAAGTATAATGCATCATCATCCTTATCAAATGGATAAGGACAATTGGAGTGCGTATTAAAGAATCTTTTATTTATTTCTTTTATTAGATATGATAATGGTGATGATGATGAATTGTTTGTGAAGGCTTAATATTGATTCTCTCATTGGCCATGAAATGATTTATTAGATTTTAAAGTGACATAAATGTTAATTGTGAAATTTTCAACATAATATTTCAACAACTTTGAACATTGTATTTATGATCACACTCAACAGTTTGTTTTTTCATAATAGAATTGATTCGCGAATGGTGGAGTGAATGAATGGAGAAGGAGGTATCCGAACTACCTTACAATTAATAAATTTTAAATCGGATCACCATCAACACCTCATAACAATATAATATTATATTAAATGAAATATTGTTTTTTAAAAAATGGATCAACATCAACATCAACAACAATATCATACTAATGATGATGATAATAGTGAATTGGAAATTACCTGTTCAGCACCAGGTAAATTAATATTATTTGGAGAACATGCAGTAGTGTATGGTAAGAATGCCATTGCTACTTCATTAAGTGATTTAAGAACAACAATAACATTAAAGGCTAAATTATCTAATACTATTCATTCTCATCATGATTATAACACTATTGATCAACAACAACATCAACAACAACATACTCATCATGAACACACTCAACATCAAGTAAATCAATTAAATCAATTAAATCAACTAGTAGAAGAAAAGAATGATACATTGATAAACTTTTATGCACCATCTATTGGATTTATTGATAATATTAAAATTCCATATTCTAAAATCTTGACATTATTTACTATTAAACAATTAAATGAATTATATCATATTAAAAATAATACATTACAAGATATTAAACAAGTAGAACAACATTTATATAAACCTGATAAAGAAATTGTTGAAAAACTTGTTACTTTAACTAAAAGTATTTTACTTGAAAAGGAAATTGGAACATCAGTTGCAGCTATTGAATATAATAAGATTATTTCCATTGTTAGTGTTTTATATTTATGTTTAATATTTTACAATCCATTAAATTGTAAACATCAATTTGAATATATTAATATTGATTTATCAAATACTACTTTACCTATTGGTGCTGGTTTAGGTTCTTCTGCTGCTTTTTCTGTTTGTTTAGTTTCATCTTTATTAATTTTATTTAATAGAATTAATTATCATTCTATTCAATTTAATCATCAATCTATTAATAATATTAATAATAATAATTTAAATGATACCAATGATAGTACTAATAATTTAAATGATATTAATAATAATTTAAATAATAATTTAAATGATAACAATTTAAATAAGAATGAAACAAATGAAAATGTATTAAAATATATTAATGAATGGTCATATTTTGTTGAATCATTAATTCATGGTACACCATCTGGTATTGATAATTCAGTTTCTACATTTGGAGGTGTAATTAGTTTTTCACAAGGTAAAATTCAAGAATTTTTATCACCACAAATATTACCAAATATGCGTATTTTAATTGTTAATACACGTGTTGAAAGAAATACAAAATTAATTGTTCAAGGTGTTAGAGAACGTAGAGAAAATAATTTTGAATTTTATGAAAAATGTTTAAATGATATTCAAAATATTTCAGATGAATATTTAAATCAATTAAAAATTAATTCATCACATTTATTTTCAATTAAGATTAAAAATGGAAGAATTAATTGATAAAAATCATTCATTATTAAATGATATTGGAACTGGTCATCCTAAATTAGATTTAATTTGTAAAATTGCATCTAAATATAATTTACATGCTAAATTAACAGGTGCAGGTGGTGGTGGATGTGGTTTTATTTTATTAAATGATATTAATATTAATAACAATAACAATGATAATAATAATCAAAAAGAAGAACAATTGAAACAAGATTTAACTAGAGAAGGTTTTCAATATTTCATGTCAAATCAAGTTGCTGGAATTGGTGTTCAATGTGAAAAATATTTTAAACATTAATTTATATAGGGATTACATGTGTGTTATTCATAGATTAGATTATTATTAATTATTATTATTATTATTATTATTAGATTATGTGATAGATGTAATACAAGTTCAAACATGTTTGAAATCAAATTTATTATTTAATAAAAAAATTATTTTGACATTCGATTATAAATATCTACTACTACTACTAGCATAGTACTATTTGTTGAAGAGTAGTAGTATTATCATTTATCATCATCACAATAACATTGATCAATACTTTTCTATAGTACTATTACACCTACCACTCAATCTTTGTTACTGTTATATAAATATGATCAATAAGTTTTTAACTGATCATCGGATGATGATTAATATTCAATCATCTTTTATTATTGTATTATTACTATTATTATTATGTAATAATATAGTAATATCATTAAATTCACCAATTACATCATCAAATATTGATAATTATAATAATTTAATAAAACCATTATATAATCAACAAGAAGATAAATCATCACAATTAATATGTAGAATGCGTGGTACTATACATATGCCATCTCTTCATGGTACTATATTTATTAAATATTTAAATAATAATAATTTAAATTCAAATAATAATAACAATGTAAATAATAATAATAATATAAATTTAAATTTAAATAATAATTTAAATATAAATATAAATGGTAGTATTATAGGATTAAATACATTAGAATATTCAAATAAAAAATTACCATTTCATGTTCATGAATTTGGTAATTTATTTGGAAATGATGGAAATTCAGTTGGTGGACATTTATTATCTTCACAATTATTATTTAATTCTAAAAATGGAAATGAAGATTTAGGTGCAACAATTGATTTATATTCAATTTCAGATCAATTAAAAGTTAATAATATAATTAATTTCCATTTATATTCACATAATAATACTAAATTAAATTTAATTGATTTAATTGGTAGATCTTTAATTATACATGATTATAAAGATAATGGTAAAAATAGAATTGGTCAATGTTTAATTTCTATTTTAGATTATAATTTAAATTTAAATAATTTAAATAATATTAATAATATAAACAATAATTTAAAATATTCATTAATTTCAAAAATGGAAGGTAATAATTTAATTTATCAACCAATTGAAATATTTGTTCATATT